ATCATAATTATGATCTAGAAAATTGAACGGTATATTTAACTGTCTCGCCGCAAAACGAAGAAAACGATTTTGAACACGCTCCAATCTTATAAGTAAATAAGCAAAATAAGGTACCCAAATAACAGATGCATACTGCAGTGTATTCAATACAAAAGTGAAAAATAGTACTTTTAGAGTACTTTCATTACGAAATAATGAAGCATTTCTCATGACAAAACCCAGAGATCTAAGAGCTCTACTAATGACATCCGAGATGTGAATACTAAATGTTAAGGAACTATCAAGTATAACACCCAGATCACAAACCTGAGTTACCCTTTTCACCTCGTCATGCCCAATTGTATACAGATAGTAGAGAATACGTTTACTTTTTGAAAAAGAAATGACAGAACATTTTTTAATATTAAAATACATGTTATTTTAAAAACACCAACTTATTAGGCTATCCAAATCTGATTGCAAATTAATGTAGTCCAGATCATTTCTAATAATTTTATATAATTTAAGATCATCTGCAAACAAAAGGAAGAAAATGTGTTTAAAAATTGATTTTATATCATTTACATATAGAATGAACAAAAGGGGACCCAAGTTTGATCCCTGGGGAACACCTGATGTAGACAAGAAAGGTGTAGAGTAACTGTTATTAAAACGTACAGATTGATATCTTTTTTCTAAATAACTTTTAATAAAATTTAATAAGCTACCAAGAAATCCCAGAGCCCCAAGCTTTGCCACGAGAGTTACGTGATCCACTCTGTCAAATGCCTTAGACCAGTCTGTATATATATTACGTCGATTTGTGCACCACTCTCCATATTCAATAATAAAAAATCAGTGAAAACACCTAAATTAGTTGTCGTAGACTTATGCTTGACAAATCCATGTTGCTCATCAATAATAATATTAGAAACAGAAGTGTGAATTAAATCAAATATTAAGCTCTCAAAAATTTTTGCAAAACAATTAAGAAGTGTGATAGGCCTATAATTTCTGATATTTTTATTATCATCGCTTTTATAAACAGGAATCACATTTCCTTTTTTCCATTCATAAGGGAAAACAGAACAAGAAATATATCTATTAAACAATTTATACAGAGGTTCCAATAATGCGTTTGAACAAGAACGTAGAATAGAAGGAGAGGGGCACATTATCAGGCCCAGCTGATTTGTGTAAATCAAGTTTATTTAACTTTTTAAAAATGTCTTCCTTACTAATAAACATGTTTTGAAGATTGATAGTAGAGTTTGACACATTTGCATAATTTGGAGGTGACGTAATAGGAGGCGTGTAAACAGATTCAAAAAATTTTGCAAAGAGATTACTAATATCTCGATCGTTATCACAAATTTCATCATCAAGATACATTACATTAGGGTATCATGATTTTTTGCACACAGAACTAACATGTTTCCAAAAAAATTTAGCATTGTTTATGATTGAGTTTTCAGTTTTGTGTAGATAAGAATGGTAACAGTCTCTTGATAAAAGTTTACATTGTGCTCTTAAATTAGAAAAAGTTGAATAGTTATCACAAGTATTGGACAATTTGTAATTATAGTGTGCTATCTTTTTTGACAAAACTAGTTTTTTTAATTCAGGAGTAAACCATTGTGGATATTGAAAGGAACACAATGATTTAAGAGGTACATATTATTAGTATTAGCCATGACATTTAATTGTAATGGTGGATGATAATCATCGACAGGTAAAACAAAATCATTAGAGAGACTTAAAGCAAAATCAATCGAATTACTAAAAACTAAGTCCAGAATAGAATCATGAATATTAGTAAACGCATTTATCTCTAACAAATTAGTAACATCACATGTGTCAGAAATGATTGACGATATTATTTCATGTTGCATAATAGAAATATTTTTAGGAAGACAAAGAGGACCATATTTACTAAAATTCCATTTTAAAAAAGGTAAGTTAAAATCTCCAAAAATACAAATTTTCGCATCAGGATAAGAATACATTAAATTTTGAATAATCGAACACATGTCAAAATATTTATTAGCTGAAGAATTCGGAGGTATATAAAAACAACCCAAAATATAAAGAATAGAATTTTTAAAAAACTTTATGAAAATATGTTCAATGTTGACAGAATCAGTAACTATAAGAGAACAATTTAGAAAAAATTTAGATGCAATTAGAACACCTCCCCCTCTTTTACCCTCTTTTAGCACGAATTTCTGTTTTGTAAATCATTATTACGAAAGTATTTCAGATAAGTTTTTGATAAAAATTAATTTTTAGTTCAGATAGTTAAAAAGTAATCTTTAATTTATCTGATACAATCATAATCCGAAAATCGGTTTTTTGCTTCTTAGGTGCTTTTCTTCGCGACGCGTCACATATTTTGACGCAGAGTATCGATATTAGTACGAAGACCTCTCACATTTTGATAATAAACATTAAATATGATAGAATCATTAGTATGTGTAGGAGAGGTGTTAACATCGAACTCAAGGTGAGAGACCTCGTTAGTTATCAATCGACCTCGTGAGAATTCGTTTGAATAGTTAATGTTGTTTTCATCAGTTTCTGGTTTTTCACTATAACAGGATTCCCAGACCGGAACACAATTCTCAAATTTTTTTCCCCATCTAATTGACGTGCTTCCAGCTGATTTTTGAGAGCAGAAATCTCGTTCAATTGCATTTTTGTTCGGTCCGGAGAAAGAAATAGATTTTTGATAGTGTGTGAGTGTTATGTTAATATCAGAGGTAAAGTTCAGTTCCAGTAAGTCTAAATTTATTAGTAGTGAAATTCATTGTTAGTCAGGAAGGGACCAAAAGGTTTCGTTTCGAATCAGGGGTCGATTCTGTAACTTCACTTCACTTTTACTTTACTTTCACTTTACTCTCATTTCACTTTCACTTTATTTTCACTTTATTTTAATTTCATTTTTACTTTATTTTTACTTGACTTTCACTACACTCTCAATTCACTTTCACTAGACTTTTACTTCACTCTTATTTCACTTCACTTTACTGTCACTTTACTTTCACTTTATTTTCACTTTTATTTCGCTTCAGTTTCACTTGACTTTCACTACACTCTCAATTCACTTTCACTTGACATTCACTTCACTCTCATTTCACTTTTACTTCACTTTCATTTCACTTCACTTTACTGTCAATTCACTTTCACTTGACATTCACTTCACTCTCATTTCACTTTTACTTCACTTTCATTTCACTTCACTTTACTGTCACTTTACTTTCACTGTCACCTTTTTTCTTAAATTTAACTTTATTTACATTCCAAATTTTCTTGAAATGTTAAAGATAAGTTAAATTCATTAAAAGTGAAGTAAAAGTAAAGTGGGAGTGAAGTGATAATGAAATGAAAGTGAAGTGAGACTGAAGTGAAAGTCAACTGAGAGTGAAATGAAAGTGAAGTGAATGTCAAGTTAAAGTCAACTGAGAGTGAAGTGAAAGTGAAGTGAAGATAAAGGGAAGGTAAAGTTGAAGTGAAGTAAACTGAAATGAAATGACAAAATCGATCCCCAGTAGTAAAAGGTACTTTTATTCAGTCAAAACTATTAAAGTCTTTAGAATTTATTTTTTAGTAATAAAAGTCAGTTTTAGACAGACAAGGAATTTGTAACCCATACATTTATTTAATATAAGTAGTAAAATACCGTTTTTGTCAGACAGATGGTAAAAATCGTAGTTTTTCTATTTTCATTAGCAAAACACATTCTCAGTCAGACATAGTATAGATTTTTAAAAACTGTCATTAGTACCTAGTAGAATTTTGTCTCATTTAGACAGTCTAAAAAATTATCGGTAGACACAGCCAGATAGGGCTATTTATCCTTCTCTGTAAATTTGAATTAGTTATAAATAACTAATGTTACTTATTTTCTAATTTAAAATTTGCCAATAAAGTTTGTCTGATTAAAATTTGTATAAACTACTTATTTCTAAAGGATAAGTACACGGAGAAACTTTTAATACCACTAATTCTTAAAACTGGTGAGACATTTTAGTATGTTAGGTTAGATTCAAGGGAAAAACGACATAGCCCGTGTAGAAATCACCATGCTATGCCTAGAATGATTATTGGCCCTAACTTGGACCTAACTTGGCAACCCCTTTTTATATATCCTAGGCTGGTCCTAACTTGGTCCTAACTAGGAGATCCAGTTATGACTTAGAAAAATTTTCAGAAAAAAATAATTAAATGTAGGACTTGTTAAATATTCTGAGATACTATTTATTCGATTAACTAATATTTATTTATGTTATGTTTTACTTATTTATTTAATAGAAAATAAATATTTTATGATATTTTTCCATATTAGTTATGTTTCTTAATTTATTTATTTGTTATGAAGAAATTAATTTAACAATATTATGTTACGAAAAAAATACATTGATTTAAGCAAAATTATTAAGTTTAAAATAATAATATTGTTGTAATTCTAACCTTAAAAATTATATTTTTATTTAAGTTTAAGATTATATTATTGAGTATACTAAAATGTTTAAATTATTTTTAGCAAACACAATTTGTAACTTTTAAAAAGAATATATTAATTATGAAATATTAACATCTTAAATTAAATATTTTTTTCCGATTACCAAAAAATTATAAATATAAAAATAGTTTCATCCATGTTTATAATTTCACTGACTATACATATAAAATTTTAGAGTTATTCATGAGAACCATGAGAAGTGAGAACGTTTAAGTAAATTGGTAATATAGATAACTCTATTTCCAGACTCACATTTCTTGAAAAAATTTCGATGTTTTTAACGATGAAAAAGATGCAATTTTACTTAAGGAATTTTTTAAAAATGTTTTAGTGATTAATTAAAATAAATTATTAATGACTATTTTCTTAATACTATAATTATATCAATAAATACAAATTAAGATTTGTTTCTCGCAATTTGAATTTTCCCGCCGCTATACTCGAAATTTTAAAGGCCACTTTCTATTTTCTCTTTTAAGTTTCTTAGAGGTTATGTTCTTGTGAAAAGTACATTAAGTTTTCTGCTTGTTATTTCCGTTGATTTATATTCTCCACTGTTTCTTATTTTTTTAATTATAATTGAATTTATTGGCTTGGAAAATGGAGCGTAAACGTTATCGTAAAGAAGATAATCGTATTAGAAATGAGAAGTTCAAAAAAATTCGTCGGAGTTTACAGGAACTTGAATCCTGTTCAAATGATATTTCTTTTGAGGAACCTTTTGACGGTAAGTAATATAAAATAAAATTATTATTACATACGATCTTTTCAGTTGTTCCTTTAAAGTAACCGAGGTGTATTTTTTCTCATAACCTGGTAGTATTTTGTTTTATACATTCTTTATTTAAAGGTAAATTTGGGTTCTTTATTCATTTGCAAGGAAAATCTAAACACAATTTAGAATCAGTCACTATTAATAGAGTATAAATGTTTATTATATTTTATTTGAAATATTTTATATTTTAAATGGAAAATGTATGAAAGAGAATATGGTGAGATTACGAAAACAAAGCAGTTTGGTTACTTTAGAGAAACAACTGAAAAGAGGTTCTTTCAGAGGACCAACGTGAGAGTAGTTAGTTTTTCACGGAGGTATCGCAAAATATTTAATATATATATTTACTCACTTATAGAGAGCAGTGATGAAAATTCGTCTACAGATGAAATCAATCCGCCTGATCTAAATCTTAATAATTTTAATGCCAACGATATCATTGAAGGTAAATACCAGTTCCAGGTTTTAATTAATTTAAAATCAATTTTATTTTAGAAACAGAATTTTATTATTATCTTTTTTCCAGCAGATGAAATTCATCAACAAATACACGAGGAAGAGGAGATTATTGATGAGCAGGACATTGAAGATCCAGAACAAAATGAATTCAATGAAGATAATTTTCTGAATGATGTTCTTGGAGGACAGGAGGATCATTCTTCGACAGATGACGACTCATCTGCAGATGAGGAAGAAAATAACGATGATCCTCCCGTATTACCAAATGTGCCCCCTGAAATTGACCAGTTACGTCATTTGGCTAATGAAAAGAACATACCTCAAAGTACTTTGGATCAATTATTAAAAATTTTGCGCCAAAGGCTATTACCGTCCTTACCGAAAAGCTCAAAAACGTTTCTGAAAACGAGTGATTCTCGATATAATATTATTGATATGGAAGGCATGAATGGAGAAATGGGAGAGTTTGTGTATTTTGGACTTGAATCTGGACTAAAAAATTGTGTGAATGTGGATTTACACCCAGAAAATATAATAAATTTGCAAATTTTCATTGACGGCATGCAGCTTACCAAATCAGGTCATTTGGAATTGTTTGTGACACTCTGCAAAATATTTTTTGAACCCGACATATACAAAGTATTTCCTGTAGCTGTATTCTGTGGGAAGACAAAACCAAGAAATGTCGATGATTATTTGGACGAGCTCATAGATGAGTTAAATGACTTGCATGAAAATGGACTAATTATTGAAGATAAACTTTTTTCAATAAATATAAAATGCATAATTTGCGATACGCCTGCAAGGGCCTTCCTGAAAAATACTATGGGTCATAAGAGTTTCGTATCGTGTGAAAGATGTGAAATTGTTGGCCATTCAGAGGAGAGAACTACTGTATTTCCGTCTATTAATGAAAGAGAAAGAACCGACAATTCATTCAGAAATCAGAGTCAACCAGAACACCACCATGGACCTTCTCCCTTCTGTCGCATTATTCCGCCATTAAATATCATAAAAATTTTTATTCTAGACTCTATGCACTTACTTTTCTTGGGAATCATGAAAAAATTATTGGAATATTGGCTGGTCGGTAGTTTAAATTTCAGGTTAGGTTTAGAAAGAAAAAAAGAACTAGCAAAACGAATGAAACACATCTACTCCCAAATTCCAATTGAGTTCCAAAGAAAAACTCGTTCCATAATTTATCATGGTAAGTGGAAAGCTGTAGAGTTTAGATTTTTTTTACTTTATTGTGGCCCTGTGGTACTTAAACATATTCTGCGAAAAGAGTTATATCAACATTTTTTATTGTTGCATGCTTCTAGTCGAATATTGTCGTCAGATGTTTTGTGTAATAGATATACAAATAATTCTAAAATGTACTTGAGAACATTTTTTACTACTCTGAAAGATATTTATGGTCCGAAGTCACAAACTCTTAATTCTCATCACGTGATTCACGTTGCCGACGATGTTGAAACAATGAATTGTAGTCTGTCACGAGTCAATGCATTTGCTTTTGAAAGCTATTTGGGAAAACTGAAAAAACTAATTCGTACACCTCATCGCCCACTTGCACAGTTATGTCGACGACTATATGAGAGAAATATTGCCATTAAAGAAAAAGTAGAAATTCCTCCGTTATTCCAAATTTTAAAAAGAAATGAAGATTCCATAGAACAAATTAAGTACAAAGAGACGACGATTTCTACTTCAGAGCCTAATAATATAGTGCTGTCCGAAAATGACACCGTGTTGCAAATACGCACTATTTTCGAAACTGCAGAAGGAATTAAATTTGAGGCTCAAGTTTGGGAAAAAGCAACATCGCTATTCAATTATCCATTTGATTCGGATCGTTTGAAAATGTGGCAGTTACTAAACGCGCCCTGTAATAGATTGAGTTTATTTAGTTTAGAATCAATTCAATGTAAAATGGTCAAATTATCTGTCCCCAAAACAGATAATAGTCCAGAGAAATTTTACGTCATGCCAATTCTACACTCACAAATCTGAATGAAAATTTAAGTAAAATAATGAATTTTTAATTACTTTCGTTGAGATTTTTTTATTGTTCATTGTGATTCAGATTAATAATTTTCTGTACTTATTACATTTTTATGACCACTCATGTATAAATACCAGCGAAATTTGGACACTTTTCATTTGAAAAAAATTTATTTTTTACATTGTTTTAAAATTTATTTAGAATATTTCGTTATTTGTAGACTTTTAAAATATTAATAACAGAGAAATTTTAATTCAACCAATAGAAATACAAAATCTTTTGTTTAAGGAAAATTTTTATTAATTGATTTTTTAAGTCTGTAAATTGCAAAAATATGTTAATTATTATTGAGAGACTATTTTATAATAATCTAAAAATTGTAATAAATTTAATACACAACATTAAAATGATTTGAATTAATATCCAAACATTAATACTTTTTTAATTTTATTTATTTTTTTTAATCATTTATTTTTACTATCAATGTATTCATATTTGATTTATTTTTATTAATCACTATTTATTTATAATTTACTAATATAATAATTTATAATTAATTATAAATTACTCAAATTTTTTGTATTATTTCATTTAAAAATATCCCGCCAAGAGTAACCAATACGAAGCGCTACAACACAAGCGCATGTGCGAAGTAAAACCTAACCAAACTTTACCATATTCATTTTGGAAGTTCGGTGCGTTCAGCGATGAAAAGTTTTAAAATATTTTCATCTTTTTGTTTAATTCTTTGTGGTGATTTATTGTGACTTCAATTATGTCTTCGGACGAAGAACATCCTTTTCAGTTAGTACATTTTGTGAAACCTGGACGAGAATCAATACGAGATATTGATATTGTTCCAACCACGTGGATGCAATTCATCAAAGGCAAATGCAAAGCCAAATTCATGCCTGATCCTTATACGAATGAAAACGTAAAGCTTCTACGAAATTTAGTAAAAAAACAGTTGCCTCCTCCTGCAAATTGGCCTACGTATACTGTTAGGATCAAAGGAAATTCTAGTAAGTGCATAATTATAATAGAGAGGCTCAATAGAATAAGAGGACGAGAGCGCGATTCGGAAGGAATGTTAGCAGTCCGGCAGCAGTGACAAGCCATAACCTGATCACTGTTACCCGACTGGTATTCCTTCAACCACGCGCTCGAATCCATTATTCTCTGGAGCCCCTTAATTTTACTTACATAAATTTAAGCATTATGTTGAAGCATTATTGCAAATTGTAATGTGTGACTTTAGTAATTACCGTTGCTGCAAGGAAAGAAATAATTTATATTGGTTTGTTTTTTAAACTATTTTTCCCGTGTATATATTTGAAAACTAAAAAAATTCTATTTAAGGTGAAACTGTTATAAACATAACCTATAACGTTTTCTTTGTAATGTCGCTTCCTTCACCTTCACGAAGCATCATTTATATAAGTATAAAGAATGTGACTTATAGAAACAAAAATTATATTGTTTATTATTATTTAATCAGTACTTAAATGTATTTACCAAATTGTGATAAATAGTAGATAGAAGGACATTCTATCGTTTTAAAAACTCAAATGAATAATATTTATTTCTTCTTCAAATCTAAATTTTATCGCAATAATATTGCGTCACGTTATATAAAATAAATTAAAGATATTCTAAATGTTTAATTTTATTTCTGCTTTTTATAATACTTAATAATTTTTCGAAATATTAACATTTTTGTACTTTCAGAAACTTACAAGGAGGCTGAAAAGCGTTTAGAAGTGCTAAAATTAGAGGAATTTGCGTTTTCTACAGAACCTGATATGCCACCGCTAGAGAAAGCTAAACAAGCTGAAAAAAAAATTAAAGATAAAAGATTTTCAGTCACTACAGAAGTAAAAAACCATTTAAAAACTGTCCCAGATTTGAAAACAGATTCCGAAGAGTCGGAAGGTAAAAATGGTCATATTGCTACTTCTACTTTCCAGAATGAATCTCGAAAATTTAACATATCGACAGAACAAGACTTCAAGAAAAACGGTATGCAAAATATATTTTCAATATCTACTGCTTATTTAAATCAAGTAAAAATACGTTGTTAAATGTCGTAAATATTTTACATCGCTCAACTGTAATTTAAATAATTTTTTTTTTTAAATAAATATGAAAATTATAAAAATAATATCTGTTTGTAGGAGACTCTGCGGATGCTTTGACGAAGAATCCACAAGCTGTGCAGTTATTAAATTCTGATAATACAGAAAGTGATACTGGGGACAAAAATATGTTGTCAAAAAAGCAAAAATCCTCTGTTAAATTAAAACCATTTAGGAAGAGAAGTACTAAAACAAATACAAGTTCAGTACCGAAACTTAAAACTAATTCAGAACCTTTAAATGGTAAGTTAAATCTCTCATTTTTTTAAAAACTAGTTTCGGAAATGATCGGAAAAAAATTTGTTGTCATGAAAATTAAGTAAATTTAGACTTTTTCCATTTATTTTCAAAAATTGCGAGACTTTCTCGACTTTTCTTACCAATAATACAAAAATAATTGAATTCTCAAAAATTTTAATGGAAAATATTTAAATGTAAATTTAAAAATGAAAATTATTATTCAAAATTTTTAATTAAAATTCATCAAAAAATTAATTAATCTTCTTTAAATTATGCAAAAATTATTTAAAGAAATTTAATTATCTTGGAACAAAGTTAAATAATAATAATAATAATAATAATAATAATAATAATAATAATAAGACTAACCTTATTAAAATTTCGGAACAATCATGGCCATATTTATAATTAGCTTAAAAATTCTTAAAATATATAAATTCTCACATTTATTATAATTTTTCACAATGATCTATCTATCTATCTGTCACATCTAGTAAAAATTCATTGTTAAATGTCTTAAATAGTTTACATTGCTCAACTGGAATTTAAATAATTTTTTTTTTCAAAATAAATATGAAAATTATAAAAATAATATCTGTTTGTAGGAGACTCTGCGGATGCTTTGACGAAGAATCCACAAGCTGTGCAGTTATTAAGTTCTGATGATACAGAAAGTGATAGTGGGGACAAAAATATGTTGTCAAAAAAGCAAAAATCCTCTGTTAAATTAAAACCATTTAGGAAGAGAAGTACTAAAACGAATACAAGTTCAGTATCGAAACTTAAAACTAATTCAGAACCTTTAAATGGTGAGTTAAATCTCTCATTTTTTTAAAAACTAGTTTCGGAAATGATCGGAAAAAAATTTGTTGTCATGAAAATTCAGACTTTTTTTTACTTATTTTTAAAAATTGCAACTTTCTCGACTTTTCATCCAAATATTGGAACAATAATTATATTATCAAAAATTTTAATTAAAAATTGTAGAAAATAATTTAATTCATGAAAAGTTATAATTGTAATTTTTAGAAATTATTAAATTTCATTTATTCATTTTTTGTAAACTTTCATATCTTTCTATGAAAATAATTTTGTTTAGGAACTTGATAAACTGAAAATGGTGACCACCCTGAACAAATACGTAAAATTCAAATTCTGATGCACTCATAAATTTATGTAAAATAATTCTCTAAAATGTATTGTACTTATTTCGACAGGTGTAGCAGAAAAATCTAGGGCGACAAAATCTATTAGCGGTAAGATTTAATCTGTTTACTTATTATTAATAAATTTATTTATAAAAAATATTTTACAAAATATTGTAAAATTTTATTTACAGAAGTAATTATCAGAAAACTGGATTCGATGGCTGTGGATATAAAAGAAATAAAAAAATGCCAATTAAAGCAGATGCAGAATGGTTTTGTGAAGCAAATAGAAAAAGCAATTATGTTTGAGGAAGAAAATCGTCTTAAATTACCATTCAAACAGAAGGAAGAATTTGAAAAGTTTGATAATGATTTATCAGTAGACAGTGAATTACACGAAAACTTTGTAAGTATATCCAGTAAAACTATTTTTTCAAATTGACATTTTCTTAAGAAATTTAAAAACCTGTTTTGTTTATAAAAGAAAGTAATCGAAGGCACAAAAAATTAATATTTCACAATTTAGTTATTAGTTCAAAATTCTATTATATTTTAAATTTTATAACTTTAAATTTCTGTTTAGTCTAATTACTGTAGAAATGTCAAATTCTGTAAACCATATAATTTGTATTGAATATAATTTTGAATTCAACAAAATTCCTACAAAATTTAACTTTAAAAGAAAAAATCTGACTTTATTTCTGTCCGAAATAGTCATTAATTTACACGAAGAGTAAATTCCTATATTTTTGTTTTCGTAACTGTTTTTTACAGAAAAATTCTTTACCAAAAGAGTTTGACGCAAAATTGCATTTACGAGGAAGCATAAAAAATATTATCAAAAAATACTTAAATAAAGAGTTGATAATGCAATATACAGTTTCCAAAAAGAAGGAGGGAAGAAGTTTGTTTTGTGACACAACTATGTATAAGTGTATGTATGGTAAGTTCTTTATTCCTATTATAAAGAATAAATAATAAGTTCATGTTTTAAAATGTGTATTTTTTTGTTTTAGGAGTTTTAAAAGAAACTCATGTTGACATTACATCTGGAGGAAAGCAACAAATATCTGAGAAATATTTTGCTTCAGAATTAGGGACTGTTTTCTCATCCTCAAAAGACTGGGAGGGAGGTAGGATAAGCAGGCAAAAGAAATCAGTATCAAAAAAGAATAAACGGCTTGCAGAAATTAAAGTTAATGGAAACGACGACGAAGAAAGCTTTAATGGAGACGATCAGCAAAAGATTAATCAGGAGAGTGATACAGAGAGTGATCAGGAGAGTAACAATGAAAGCAATGGAGAACACGTTTCAGATGATTCTTAAAAAGAATTTGCAATGTCTTTATACAAATTTTGTTTTTTTTTAATTGTATTTGCAAACTATTTTAAGACAATCTTTAAGAATGTATGTGAAAAGAATTTGATTTTTAACTGCAGTATTATTATAATAATAATTATTTTTTAAAACATTTTCTTATTATATCTAAAAAAAACTAAAAAAAGACAAGTTTCAAAATATCTTTACAAAAGCTTTTATTTTTTTCATATTTTTCTATATTTATTTCTTATTGTTATATATCTTTAAAAGTTTAAAAGATTTTATGTTTATATGTACTACAATAAGAAAATATATATAAATTTTAATACAAACTAAAATAGATTTTTTTAATTATACCATCAATACTGGAATTTATTAACAAATATTTTAAACTAATTAAAATTATAAAGAAATAGATAATTCTGTCTGAGACGGTCCTTTCTAGGTCCTAAAATGGACCCATAAACTGGTCCTAACTAGGCACCCAAGTTAGGACCAGGCTAGAATCGCATCACCAGCCATTGTTGGTCCAACCTACACTGCCAACCTAGGACCAAGTTATTAACAGGGCAAACTAGGTAGGACCTGACTAGGACCAATTTTCATTTTCCACACGGGAGGTTATAGAAATTGCTATTGAGACTATCAAAAACACTCATTCAGTATATATTTTACAGTTCTTCATAAGGAAACTAACGAAAATTAGTATGTTGTTTTAGAAAGAAAATAATAATTTTTGCAAAGTTGGGAATAAGCCATGAATTAAAAAGAAACACAACAAATTAATTGTCTATAGATACTCATAGAGACGATAGTGATACTTGGATCTGATGGTAGATGGCATTAGTGAATGTCACTGTAACTGTAGGTAAATATATTTAACACGACGTAAGAACCTAACCTATATTATTAACGCACACGCAAGTAAAGACACGACGATTGGTCACGGAAATCGAAAGATCGCACGATTCGTTAGAAGTACACAGCTGAATCGTCCTTATATATTAAACGAGTGGAAAAATATGTACCTTCGAGAGAGAGCATTTTTTTAAATAACTTTCTAATCAAATTATGTAAATAAGTAAAAGTCGTGAAAAAAATTATGTTATATTGAGGAACAGTTCTTGAATTTAATTTGGCATGAGGAGACATTCACGTTTATTAATAAAAGGTTTTTTTCTTTCATACACGTGTGAATTTCAACTTCGAAAACATTAGGGTTAGTTCGCGACGTCAGGTGATGGACTCGGTGATGCTCGGGTGAAATCGGTTAAGTCCGCCCGCAGTCCTTCCAAAATTGGTATGTTACGTTAGAATGTCTGTTATATATTCTGTGTATATGTGTAAAAAAGGTTAGAATTACCGTATTATTTCACAAACAAAAAATGGCATCATATTCTTTTCTAAAGAAAAATAAGACTATTTCTAATGCAGATAGTAATTTTTGTACACCGAAGGTTGCTTAATATATAACGAACTTATCATATTTTCGTATTAATGTTGAAATTATTAGCACAACGCACGAAAAATCCTCACATTCTAACGTACTTTTAGAATAAACATAACCAAATATATTTAATATTATAAGAAAAAGTTTCTCCGTGTACTCAATAAATATTTTTCTGACTAAAATTAGTTATTACTACTGACTGCATAATTAACTATTTATTAAAAATAATTTTTATTAAATGAAAATGGAAAATGTAATGAAAATAACAATTTTGAAAGTAAAATTTGCTTTTAAATAAAACATTTTTAACTAATTCCAATTTTAGAGAAATAATTAATTAACAATTAATTACATTTAGTTTTAATGAATTTTTTATTTCTAAATTAAAATTCTCTTGACAATTTGAAAGGTATCTCGGGTATTTTTTCACGTTATTAGTCTCAAATCCCATGTGAAAAATAGATAGAAACGAAATATTTCAATCATATTTCAATTATTGGCAATTAATTTCTCTCCAAATGGAAAATAATTATCTTAATGAGAAAATAAATTGAACTCTCGTTGGTAAATTATAATTTACTTGAGGTTCTAAATTTGGAGAAATTTATGTCAGTGACTTTACAATGTACCTTGCAAGTGTTCGTCAAGTACCTCTTAATGCAAATGACCTGAAGATTGGAAACTGTTCATAGTAAGCTACAATAGTCAAAAGTGCCTCAAAGTTCAAAGAGAATAATATATTTTTGAAATTTAGTGGATTTTGTGCAAAAATTTCTAATTTCTAAAATAATTTTTTTGTCTTCTTCATTTTTAAATGAATAATGAATACTTAATAAATAAAACTCTCCAATAAAACTGAGTATAAGTTTAGAAAAATTTCAGAACTCATCGAGTCATAATACTTAACTAATTAGTAATAAGTAATTTATTTTCAATTATTATTTTTTTTAAAGAAAATTCCATTTTCAATTGTTTATTTAGCAAACAATTTTTAAATTGATTGAAAAGGATTTTTTGTACTTTGTTTTTCGTTTATAACAAATGCATATAATGATCGCGTGACGATTGCTTACAGAAAACGAATATCGATCAAACTTTCAAATATGTTTAATTGTGAACAAAACTAATTTCAAATCTTGTTAAATTTCTCCTATTTTATGTATGTTTATATTTATTTTTTTATTTACTTATTTATATGATAAATATGTTTTCCGTCACTTAATGTAAAAATTATCAATATATCGATCAGAAACAATAAATACTCATTTAATACGTTTATCGAAAAATATTTTGTGTAAATTTCGTTGAATATTGAAAAATCTCAAGTTAAGTTAATTAAATTTAATAATTGGGTGATGAATGTAAAATTAAGATAAATATTCAATTGATTTATTTATAAAAAAATTTCTTTATAAAATGTCTGCGAAAGTTAAAATTTCTGAATTCGCTAATAAAATAAATTTATTATTTAATAAATATGAAATAAAAATAAATATATTCAGTTAATAAAATTTTCTAATAGAAATTCTCTCTGTAAATAAAAATTGAATATTAAAATTCTCAACATATAATAATTTTTAATAAAGAAATAATAATTTCTTGCGAATCTTATTAAATAATACAATAATAAGATTGGCAGATATTTAATAAATATTTTATTAAAATTATTGAATTAAATATTCAATGAATTAAAAAATCCGTCTTTAAATAATTTCCACTTTGACATTTTAATTTAATATTCGTATGATGCGATATATCGCATAATAATATCATATGAGAATATTAAATTAAAATATCCTTGTGGAAATTTTTTAAAGACAATTTTTTTCTTTTTACTCCAATTTCGACAAATTCTTTTTTATGCAAAAATTTTGAGATGCAGTGCGCGAATCAGAAGCGAGCTTTCACGCGATTTCCAATTTACATGGAATGACATTCGCATTGGCACGTCGAGACGCAGAGATGGTGTGATTAATTCGATTACAAGTGTGTTCGCGAGAAATTGATTGATCGATTGCTAATAAAAAATGACTGCACGAAAGGCATCGTCTCGATAAAAATTTGTTAAAAATTGTCTCGAGAAACGTAGTGCGGAAATATTAACAATATAAAAAATTCGAATTAATTACAATATCAAATTGGAAGATTGTAAAATGACTATATTTATGTCACTATGAATTTGATTATTAAAGTAGGTAAATTTGACAGCAACGAGAATTTTCAAGAGAAATTTCATTTTCACTTAGAGAATTCTTATTTAATTAGAATTCTTTTTTAGATAATATTTTAAGCGTTAATTGAATAGCTGAAAATAATTAAACTAGATTTATATAAAAAAAATTAATTATGAATTTAATAAAAGTTACAATTTATGAGTGTTTCAATTAGCGCTAAAATTAATTAGCGTTTTAGTCGACGTTAAAATTAAATAGCGTTCAATAATCGGCGCTAAAATTATTTAACATGATTCAAACATTAAAAATAATTAGCGTTTCTATCCATGTTAAGATTAAATAGCGTTTCAATCGATATTAAAATTAATCAGCGTTAACTTATTTAACGAAAATTTCAACCTTAAAATTAATTATCTCTTTTATGAACGTTTAAAATTAATTAATGCAATTGAAACGCTAAAATTAAGTATGGTTTTAATCGCCGTTAAAATTAATTAATGTAATTTAAACGCTAAAATTAATTATTATTTCTATCAACGTTAAATAATTCAAACGAGAAATTAATTAGCGTTTTAATTTACATTAAGAACAAAAAATGTTAAAATCAGCGCTAAAAATTTATAAACATTATTCAAACGCTATAATTATTTATCCTTTGAAACGTAGTTAATATTAAACAGCGTTAAAATGAAATAACCTAACTTTAAAGCTGATGTAAATTATTATTATTTCAATCTACATTAAAACTAAACGTCTAAGTTAAACAGTTTTTCAAATAACGCTAAAATTAATTGACGTCATTCAAACGCTTAAATAAATTACCATTGATTAAAAACCCTAAAATGAATTAGCGTTTAATCAAACATTAAACTTAATTAACGTTAATTGAAACTCTCAAATGAATAAGTGTAACTTAGACGCGAAAATTAATTAGCATTTCAATTAAGTTTAAAATTAATTTACATAATTCAAACGATAAAATTAATTAACGTTTAAATTGACGTTAAAAGTGAATAGCGTTCAAATAGATGTTAAAGCTTAATAATTAATATTATTCAAACGCTAAATCTAATTACACTGTAAAAAATTTAGGGAGTTAACGGACTCGGGAGTTGGGAGTTAAATTTTTCGAGTTAAAAATCAACTTCAAAAGAGAGTTAATTTCTAACTCCCTTCATTTAACACCCGCGCGAGTTATTTTTTCCATGGGGAGTTAGCATTTGGGTGTTAAATTTTAACTCTCTTTATTTAACTCCCCTGGCATTAACTCTCCAATGGGTGCGACTTTTATAGAATCCCTTTGGGAGTTAAAATTTAACTCCCTTTTTTACAGTGTAGCGATGATTGAAACCGTTATGAAAAAGAACGTTTCAAACGGTGCTATAAGGAATTTAACGTTATTCAAACTCCAAAAATAGCGTTAATTATAGCGCTAAAATTAAATAACGTTCTTATAAACACTGAAATTAATTAATAGACTGTAACGTTTGAATTAATTAGCGTTAATCAAATTGAGTAACATTTGAATGAACGCTAAAATTGATAAGCGTAATTCAA